AGCCCAGAACTAAAACAATTTCCAAGGCCAACTCTTCAGACAGGGATTGGACTGGACTGTGGGACATAAAGTGATACTTGTGAAGAGTGTGCCTCTTAGTCAAGTAGACACAAGAGACCAAAGGGGCAGCTTCTGTCCAGAGGTGAGACGGGAAGGCAGAGAGAGTTAGGAGCTGGTTGAATGGTCATAGGGAATCGGGTGGAAAGGAGGAGTGTGCTGTCGCAGAATGGGGTGAGCAATTAGGGTCTCATAACAATGTATGTAAAAAAAATTTGTATGGGAGACTAACTTGAAATGTAAACTTCATTTAATTACAACAATAAAAAAAAAGAGCATGATGCTCAAGGCAGCCTTTTTTTTTTTTTTTACTAGTTAAACTACTGCTTGATTTTAAGACGACTTCAAGGGATACTTTTGGTTTAAGGTTTAAAGATTATTTCTGGGCAATAGTTTCAGGGGTTCATCCTTCATGGCTCCAGGAAGTCTGGAGTCAATGAGAACTTTCATTTCAGTTCTGCATTTCCCCCTTTTCATCAGGATTCTTCTATGGAATCTTTGATCAAAATGTTCAGTAATGGTAGCCAGGCACAATTCAGTTCTTCCAGTCTCATTGCAAAGGAAGCAGTTGTTCATGGAGGCAATTAGCCACACATTCCATATTCTCCTCCTATTACTGACTCTCCTTCTTCCTCTTGTTCCAGGTGAATGGAGACCAACTGTTGTGCCTTGGGATGTCCACTTGAAAGCTTTTAAGACCCTAGGCACTATGCAACGAACTAGTAGGTAGAACAGAAGCACTAAACATGTTATTAGGCCAATTAACTGAGATGTCCCATGAAACCATGACCCTAAACCACCAAACCAAGGAACCAAATCCCATGAGGTTTTTGGTTGTACATAAGCAGCCTCAGCAGTACTCTTTCTTCTGTCTTTGTTGTAAATTTATCTATCACACAACATTTGCCAATTCAACTTTTTATAGGTGTACAATTTATTGACAGCAATTACAAAAATTGGCCGTGTGTATTGATATGTTTTTTGATGGCTGAAAGCCAATAGCTAGTGTTAGTGCAAATGGGTCTTAAAACAAGGGTATATGGATGACTTAAATATCTATCTGCAAATAGTTCCTCAGAGTTTGGAATCGGAGACCTATAAATCTAGAAAGAAAGTTATTTTAGCATCAAAGTATTTCCTTTTATGAGAATGCTGACACTCACCAAGTCTTTTTCCTCTGGCCCAGTGGTGTAAACCCTCTTATTAAGGAGGAAGCAGGGGGCATCTTCCAGTGCCTACTGCTATGGCTCTAGTTTTTATACATCATTCCGGATTTAGCTTCTTTTCTAATGATTCTATAGACAAAGAGATCCCACAACACACAGAACTGCTGGTAAGGTCACTGTAGACACTGACCTTCAGTAAGGGGAAGGACATCAGTCTTCTCTTACTACCCTTTCTTAGCAGGAGCCTCACATACATCCTGTTGCTGTTGAGTCGATTCTGACTCATAGCGACCCTATATGTATGTGTGTCACGTACATACAAAGCAGCAAAGTAAACCAGTGAAAAAGACTCATTAGAAAACTAGTCTGCCCAGCATATGCTACCAAAGTCAGTGCCTAAGCTCTCCCAAGGTAGGGACTTCTTCTTGCTCCATAACCTTCTCTCCCCAGAGTAAGACAGTGTTGGCTGTTGGTAGAAGGATGACCATGGGACAAGGAACAGTACTTTGTGATGTAAGGAGGTCACTGGCTGGCCTATTCCCAGAGGCAACTGGTAAAAGAAGGTTATATGTCAGAAACTTCCATCTTGCTGAAACCTATGAAATATGAGTTGTAGCTTCAATGCCTAGGCTAAGAAAAAGTGGATTAAGTCTAGTGGATTAAGTCTTTGAGATGCTCTGATTCTCAACGGGATGCTAAGAGGCAGCACGGTTCTAAGAGGACAGTTACTTCGCTTCCCACAGGATACTTCCTTTCAGGCCTCAGAGTTGCCTGTTATTGACTGGACATATACAGAGGGGAAAAAAAGTCATGATTTTAAAGAGGCACCAATATAAAGCAGAAGAGGTCTTTCAGGTTTAGGGAATGCAATGCCAGAGAAAAGGTCCCGAGCTATGTTCTGTGCTCAGTGGTTTTCCTTATCAACATTCGGGTATTCAGTCTAATCAAACAGGCAGAAGAATTTTTCTGGATTTCTACAAAGTCTACAAGACACAGTCTGAAACAGTAGCTCTCGCCAAGTCATGCTGGCTGCGTACTTTATCCTCATCATTCTGCCAAGGAGGATCTGCTACGATATTGGGTGATAGGGTTCAGAGTTCTTAGTTCTTTACAGGCCCGGAGAAATATCTAGCTCACTGGTATAACTACTTTTACTGTAAATGTAATTAAACTCAGGCCTAGACCTACTGTATAGGTAGGCTTGAGATAACCACAGCAAACCTTGATGAATAATACTGATAGAGAATATTTTATGGCAAAGCAGTTTAGAAAAGGGTTGTGGCCTAGGCAAGTCAGTGCTCTAACCTGAGGCTCCCTTCCTTCTACTAAAAGGCACTATTGTACTGGCAGGGTGAAGTATAGGGCAGTTCAGGCAGCACCTTCATTCCCTAAGAGGGATACTAGAGTTTGAGTACTGAAGGGAGGGTAGAGACTTAATACTACTTCTCTACAATTGTAAGACAGACACATTGAGTATTTTTGTCTCAACCTTAATTGTTCTGAATGAAAGCATTTGGATATTTTTAATTTAGTGTACTAAACTCTACTCTTCCCCCGATCACTTTAGTAACCCTTCTATCTCGCTGAGGACAGACTATTTTTCATCCTGCTTTGCCTGACATAATACCAACAAAAACCAGACCTGTTGCCTTCGAGTTGATTCTGACTCATAGCGACCCTAGAGGACAGAGTACAACTGCCCCACAGGGTTTCCAAGGAGCTGCTGGTGGATTTGAACTGCCGACGTTTTGGTTAGCAGCTGTAGCTCTCAACCACTGTGCCACCAGGGCATAACACCAGAGACAGAGAAAGTGCTCAGTAAACATTTGAATTGAAATGTTGAATTTTGTTTGTAGAGGCTCAACAACATGAGGTAGCCCAAGGATTCCAGGTATGGACCCTAAAATCATTTTATATTACAGTAAGACAATAGCTTCCTTTTTGTTCCTAATTATTATTATTTTTTAATAATTAAACAACACTGCTAGCTTTTTATGACTCTAACCATTTATTGGGCTGATGTCTTCAGGGGTTTCTCTCCAATGAGCCCCTGGATCCAGATCTTTGCTGTGCCAGAACTGATGACTCCGAGACCATCAGTTTATGAATAGGGTTTATTTTTCCCCTAAACACCCTTCATGGTTTTCAAATTGTTGCCATAGGAACTATCCCATATAATCTAACAAAGGACAGAGAGAACAGATTACTATCTTTATTTTACAGATGAGGAAACTGAGGTCCACAAAGGTTAAATGACTTGCTCAAGGCTATAAGGCAGTTTGTACCAGAGCTCAAAGTGAGAAGAGTAATTTCTACTCCTGAATTAACCACTTGCTAACTGTGAGCTTTTGTGTAAATCACTTCACATGGATGTTATACCTACTCTGTATCCCTTATGGAGTTGTTAGTAATGAATTAAAATAATACTATTTCTCATTTATGTAGTATTTACATTTTTCAAAATGTTTACACATCTCTTATCTCAGTTAATCCTGTAAGACTGCTTTTATTATTATCTCCAATTTATAGATGAAGAAATAGAGACTAAGAAAGGTTGAATAACTTGCTCCAAGTTACCCAGCTATAACTTGTCAGAGCTGAGATTTGAATTCACATCTGATTCCTCGTCTAATGCTCTACCTACTACACCGCATCTATTGTGAGGCTCACATAGGTGAGATAACCGATGTGAAAGTGCTTTATAAAATATAAATGCCTTAAAAATGCTATTCAAATGTTAAAGAATATGACAACCTGCACTGACAGATATAACAGGATTGCTACTAGACTGGCAAAGAGGAAGGACTTAGAATCGAAGTTGAAAAAGTTGTTGCATATATAGATTGAAAGTGTCGGGGCTGGGTAAAGAAGTTGCCCTTCGAACAGAAGAGCTTGAGACATATGTACCACCATTGCCAAAGGTAGATCAGCGAAAACAAACCTCCCATCTTGGCTTTTAATCTCGGATTCAGAAGAGCAACCTATAATCACGTTGCACAGATTCTGGTATTAGCTAAAAATGTCATTTTGGCACAAGCAGAGAGGTATGTGTCAACCTTAATCTGAAATCAGAGCCCTCTGTCACCTTTAAAGCTGCCACCTGTAAAGACTGCTGAATGGGTTTGATAAAAGAAGCTCAGAAATTGCAGTGCTCCAGTGTAAAACCAGGCAGCTTCCAGCCTCAACTATCAGGACACTAATAAATGTGAGACAGCCCTAATATTACTAACACTAAAAACACAGGTCACTAATCATTGTTGTACCCAAGACTAGCCAGCTTAGAGAAATAAACTTACAATTATCCCAGCTCCAGTTTCACTACTAAGGTTTCTATCCAGCAAAAGGCGTTCAAGGTAACACGTGAACATTTATGACCCTTTTGGCAGCAGGTGATCTGGGCACAGTGACAGGCTATAGAACACGTCTTAACGTGTTTCATTAGGGCCTTGTTGTGACCAGGGGAGCTTGACACTATTTAATGCTGGCTAAACTCCAAATCAGTAACTTGTTAAAGAAAGAAACTGTCCCCCTGAGGGGCTCCCAGAGTAAAAAGTTACCAACCTCAGCTTGTTTGCACCAAACGCTGATGTTTTTACGCTGAGCTTTTGTGAAGTGGTCCCAGGCCTTTTGTTTGGAGGCGGAATGGTACACAGCCACGATCTGCTCAACTGCAGCAAAAAATCAGCATTTGAATCAGGCCAGGGTATCATCCAGGGATGTCAAAAGAGAAGAGAAAAGGAATAAAAGAGAAGCATCAGTCTTGATATCTTCTCGTTACAACGCGACACTAGACTGTGGTCGTGCTTGGAAAAGGGTGTGTGTTGGGGTATCGAGGTTCTAAAGGGAACTCAAAGGCAGACATATCAATACATAGAAAGAAAAAAGTGAACTCCAGAAGGCCTGGGGTAAAATGGTGACTACAGTTACAATGCAGGCAGTCGGGATTCATTCAGGCAGGCGAGGCAAGAGTCGTAGTGAATGAGATTTTGTACTACTGACCCTGCACAGCATTGCAGCAAGTGACAAACTGCACCAGCACTTTCTTCCGCTGACTCCTTTCATCAGCTGGCCCTTCAAAATGAGCCTGGATGCTTTACTTCAACAGAATTCACCCTTGTCCTATTCGGAGATATGCTTAACTAGAAGCTTCAATTCAAAACCTAGGATGGATTACATCTACTTCAAGTCTATTTAGATAGACTCGTTAACTGGAGGAATATAACTTTTATGGAGGAATACTGTATAACTGCAGTCCTAGAGAGTATTTTGCAGGGTTGCTTAAAGTGTCAGACAGGGAATTGTGTACAAATATTCTGGGGGCTTTACCCTAACTAATTCAAGAGGGGAAGCCTAGACACGACTCTTTTGGAAAAAGAAAAGCAGGCCAAGAGCCCCCGCCTGGCTGGGTGTTCACAGTAAGAAAATACAGAGGTGGTCTTTCTTTCTTTACAGCACTGTTTGAACCCTGTCTTCCAATGATTTATGGATTTACATTCCTGTGATGCTTGCTGCTCTCTTTCTACTTATTCTGAAGTCCTGAAGACATGTGCTTTCTCCTCCTGGATTCTATGCCCACGTACACTTTCAAAATGGAAAATGGAACAACTCCTCCTTGTTCCCAATTATGTATGAGTCAAGTATACTACATGGGAAGAGTGGACCATAGTTGTTTAAAAGCAAAATCATAAAATGGTTCTTATTCTTAAGGTGAATATAGTTCCTTACTGAAAAGATATGAGTGTATAGTGAGCAAAAATATTACTTGAGAATTTCTCTGTTTTGCCTCATTTAAGAGAACTTGCAAAGTGTGGAGCAGCACATCTCCTTGAAAATGGCCATTTCAGTGGCTTCCCACTCCCTGTCATAGTGTCTATGGTATCCAGCAAAGGAAAGGAAACAAAACACAAAAAGTAGGAGGAGAAAATTTAGTTCCTATTCAATCACCTGGGGAAACATAATTAAATTTAGGGAGTATCTAAAAAGTATATTACATAATACAAATGATCCAAATCTGAAGAAAAGCTGAAAAATGCTTCAGCAAAGAACTCTCAAACTCTCCACTGAGGCCCAGGGTTGCTAGTAACTTACCTTGAAAACAAGAAAAAGGAAAAGTGCAGGACTGTGGCCTAAATGTTAAGTGTTTCTAAGGAGCTGAAGTAGAGATACTGGAGAAGATGAAAACAGGTAATGCCTACACACGTCCTGTGGGCCTGGAACCTGGGCATTTGGCACTATCAGGAGAGCACAAGGCAGAGAAGAAGGAAGCCTTGCCCATCACACAGGGATGGCTCTGTAGGCCCAGGCTCCTGCATATAGAAAGTGGTGACTAACTGCCCTCTCACTCTCCAGCAGAACTCAGACTTCTACTCACATTGAATGAGAATTCCAGAAAGGGCCTGTTTGAACTTCTCTTTTGCTTCTTCCATGTCTTTCTCATGCGTAGCTTTCTCATTCACCAAGCGGCGGATGTGGCTATTGGCGGACTGGATCATGGAGTAGAAGTTGTTGGCACTGCGACGGTTCACCTCACCTCGCTCAATCCAGGTAAGCAAGGTCTGCACGGCTTCCGAGAATTTGGAATCATCTGAAAAAAGAGAATTATATTTAGAAACATCAAAAATAACCAAATCCTTCACCGTTCAGCCGGGGATTGGACAGCCCCATAAAACAAAACGGGACTAATGAGGCACAGCAGTCCAGGGACAAGGACTAGAAGGCAGGAGGGGACAGGAAAGCTGGTGATAGGGAACCCAAGGTTGAGTAAGGATATTGTTGATGTGTTGTGAGATTGTTAACCATTGTCACAGGGCAACATTTGTAGTAACTGTTAAATGAGAAACTATTTTGTTCTGTAAGCCTTCATCTTAAGTGAGAATAACAGCACAATTGGAAGAGCGTAGTCAATTCAGTGAACTGTGCATGTAGAAATTTTTGAAATGGTGTATCTTTGGCTATGTGTATTTTCACCGAAAAAAGGTTGAGAAGGGAGAGGGTTGACATGTCGTGGGGTTGTTAACCAATGTCATAAAACAATATGTGTACTACTGTTTCATGAGAAACTATTTGTTCTGTAAACCTTCACCTGAAGTACAATACAAAATTAAAAAAAAATAACCAAATCTTAATCTATTTTCCCAATATGCTGGTGGGAAGGCCACCGTGGCTTTTGAGCAGTCGTTGTTAAATGAATTGCTAAGGATGGGGAGCCACGTGCACACACACTTGCACACAGGCAGCAGACAGAGTGAAAGACTCTAAATGCAGCCAGATTGGTGTGGTCTATGAAGAATTTTCAGAAAGAATTGTTTCTTTTTTTCCCTAAGAAAAAAAGTTTTCTTTACCAATATTGTCGCTTTCATATACTGCAAATTTCTTCACCTCTGATGTGTGTGCATGTGTGTGAGAATGAACAGTGACAGAACTTCAGAATTCTACAATTCTGGGCTTTAGTAGGGAAAAGTAAACTTGATACCTGAGTTTAACTTGACTTTGACAGTAACTTTACCCTGGATCCACAGAATTACAGTGTTGGAAGGAGCCTCACGGAAGAGTTAAGGGATTAATTCTTAACGTATAAGCACTTAAATCTCAGACCTTTTATAACAACACTCCTGCATCCAATTCACAGCCCCAGGCCTTCCACCCAGTCACAGTCACAATCTATTCTGATGCAATTCATTTTATTTCGACATTTCTCCACATCCTGTTTCTCTTGCCTGAGGAACCCTCCAAGTAGATTTCTGCAGCTAGTTAGGAGTTAAACTCTGATGTTCAAATAGTTAGCACAGCTCTTCCAAAGCTTCTGTTCAGCTCCCTGAGATAGACACTTATAGATTCTGCTGCTCAAGACTCCTCAGAGGAGAGTCTATTAGCATCCCATTGAAACCCTGCTCTAGGGCTTCATATCTGTCTCTGGCCAGAACCTCTATGTCACGTGAAAGATCTCTCATTGCAATTTTTTTTGAATTTAGAACTTTTAGCTTAATTTTCTACCAGTATGAAAAAAATCTTACAATATTTACATACTCAAATGAAAAGGTGTGTCAACAGTTTTTCCTTTGCCACAGTTTAACCCTAAAAATGATAAACCCGTTCAACTTGATCTGGCCTTGAGTTGTATGCTATGCCTCTGTGGGTGGGTGAGCACGCACTCACTGCAATGTGAACTTCTTGCCTTGCATCCTTTATTCAGTGCAGACATATATTTATGTTGATGTTCAGTTTTTGCTTCTCTTCAGGTTCACATAACCAGCAAATTCATTTTTTTTTAAAACTCAAATGGACTTGTTTGGTATCACGTAAACAATTTTGGACCTGGCATCTTACCAATGCTTTTAGCGTTTCCAGTTTTTAAAGGGTAATCATTATTTCTGTGTCTGTTCTGGACTCTAGGTTTTCTCCATCTCTGTTATAGGAAGACAACATCAACTCAAGCAACAGAGTTCTGAAATGCATGAATCCCTTAGGCTATATGGTACAAATAAGTTGGGTGAATGAGACCTATTTGGAAAGTGGAAATAGCAGCATCTTGCTAAGCCTACAGCATGATGAGCAGGGACAACTCATACCATTAGAGCTAGGTGGGTGTCATCAATAAGATCAATGGGACACTAGGATTCATCCAATAAAATCAGCCATATTCAGAGAATGAGAAAGGCTGGATTTGACCTACTAACACAGGAGGACAGGCAGGGCAACTAATGTTAAATTAGCAAAATGCCTCTGAGAATCAAGCAAGGGGAACAGGAATCAAAACTACAGATAAAGCAGTCCAGTTCTGCAATGTCTAGAAGTCTCCATAGCCACTGTGTGGAATAAGTTGGCCATTTTAATGTATTAAACACTTTTAGGTGGTGTTAGCTAAGTCTTTGAAGAATCTAAGAAGAATGCGCACTGTGACTACATCTCTCTGGGCCTCTGCTTTCTCATCTGTAAAATGGGGATTTAACCAGAGTTTTTCAGGCCTATATCAAGTTCTATCATTCTGATTCACTCATTTGATTTACAATTCAAATTTATAATTTGTATCTACTATGAAAGAGGGAGCACAGGTCCTACCTAAGTCATGGGTCATAGCTAAAACTCTTTAACGTGGAAAAGTGGAAAAACTTGTTTCTTCCTAGTCACCTGAAGTCTGGAGAGAAGAATACCATCCCTTGGGACAGTGAAGGAGTAGAGACACAGGTGAAAAGGATAAATTTCCTGGTTCTTGAGTTACTAGGTAGAATTCTCTATCTGCAAGGCTACAACCCAAGAATTGCTTAAAATCCTTTAATGCAAAATTCAAAGGGTAACTGCCAACAACGCAAATATATTTAGTAAATTTCCCTTAAAAAGGGGGAGGGGGGTTGTAATCATGAAACTTGAATGCCTTCTGTACCTTTCAGTTTTTCAGCAACAACGCTGCATTCGTGATCTGAATAGTGGACCACAGGGGGTGGGGATGGTGGGCGCAATCTTTCTTCTTCCAGCCTTCTGCGGTGGCGCTCCTCTCTTGCTAGCATGCGCTGTTTACATTCCCACTCATACAGGTCATCTCGAGCCTGTGCAAAGTCAACGTGGAGCCGGCCTGTGTCCTTTTTGTCAGTGCTAGAGCCCAGGCGAATGCGGTAACCTAAGTTTACAAGAGGGAGAAAGAGAAAGAAGGGTGTAAGAGCAGCCATGTTTCATATGTGGTTGCAGCAGTTTCAAGCGACCAAGTAACACCAGATTCTCTCCCCACTACTAGTAAGGTGAGCCCAAAAGACTTCGATTACAGCCTCATCTCTGATAATAGTTTACTTACTGTTCTATGGCTTGGGCTCATCTTGTTCTTAGGAGTTCCAGTCCTCCATCTGCCACCTACCTCTGGCAGAGGGCAGCTCTGTGGGTGATGGTATGAAGAATGAGCCTTACATGGCACTAAGGCTGGGAAGAAAAGGTGGCCTCAAACTATGGTGTCTTTGGATAACTTCACCAAGTCTGTCAGCCATACCACCACACAGCATTTTGGTAAAATTTAAACATATTAGCTCAGTATTTCAATCCTTAAAATTGCTTCCTAGCTGCATTTGGCAACTCTGAATCATTCTGTTATGGAAAAAAAATTAGATGTGATGGAGAGTGGTGACTCGTGTGACATGTAGTTTTGGATTCTTGAAAGAAAAAAAAGAAGAGGAGTGATTATGATATAGTGGCATAGGGCTGGGATTCAGAAAACCAGAATTCAAGCCCCCACCTTCACTTTTTTGCCAACTATACTACCCAAGTCTCTTAACAAAAAATGGAGGAAAAACAGTAAATACTTTTTAAGTTTCAGGAGGTGAGCTAGATGTTTCCACATACATTTATCGCCTTTCATTTTCAGCACAATTTTGCAGAGTAAGCATTTTACAGAAGAGAAAACGGAGCATCAGAGAGGTTAGAGAGGTTAAGTGGCTTTCCCAGGGTCAAATAACTAACAAATGGTAGAGGCTGGGACTTGAATCCCGGATGTTAGACTCAAAATCCCTCACGCTTTCCATGATTCAAACCTGCCTCTCAAGAATAATAACCAACAAAGACTTCTGCTTCTGGTCAAGAGAGATACAGGACCAGATTTACCCTTATGCCTGAAACAACTAAAAATCTGGGCAAAATACATGAAAAATGTTTTTTAAGATACTGGACACCAGGCAATGAGGACACTGATTGCTGAGAGACAGGAACGAAATGAAGCGATCCCTATGATTGTCCCAGCTTATTGTCTGGGCTGCAGTGCAGGGAAGGGAACTCTGGCAAAGACCAGTGATTTCCCTGAGTGGAGAAGATAGAACTAGGAGTTCAGGGAGGCTAACACAGATAGAGATTGCAAGGCAGAGTACCGGAAAGAAACAAGCCGCACGGAGAAAAACTTCAGAGAGCTATAGAGGGTCCTCCTGTATTATTTAGCTAAGTACTGATGATTACACGTGTGCATGTAAACTACACGAGAAGCAGAGGGAACAATCCCTGGAGTTCACACAGGGCTGGGAAGAATTCCTTTTCCCATCAGCCAGAGCAGAACAACTCTTAATTCACAGGGGATTGGGTAGAGTACTCAGGAGGGTTTTTGCCTCAGTAGTGAAGGAAAACTACCCCCAGACTAAACACTGCTCTGGTCCTGCCTAACAAACCAACACCTAAAAGGACCAAAAGATTTCCAAGGTACTTAACTGCATCCCAGAACAAAGTTCAAGAACATTTATAGGAATAAAAACTATCTGGCACCCAACAAGGTAAAATTAACAATGGCTGGTATCCACAAAAGGACCCCTGGTGGCACAGTGGTTAAGCACTCGGCTGCTAACTGAAAGGTCAGTGGTTCGAACCCACCAGCTACTCCGAGGGAGAAAGATGTGGCAGTCTGCTTCCGTAAAGATTTCTAGGCTTGGAAGCCCTATGGGGCAGTTCTACTCTGTCCTATAGGGTCGCTATGGGTCGGAATCAACTCAAAGGCAGTGCGTTTGGTTTTTGGTTGGGCATCCAATAAAAAATTATCAGGTATGCAAGAAGCAGAAAAACATGACATATAATAATGATAAAAAATCAATCAATCAAAAGAGATTCAGAAGTGATACAGATAATAGAATTAATAGACAAGGACATAAAAACGATTATAATTGGATTCTATATGTTCAAGAAGTTAGAGAAAAGATTGAACATATTAAGTTGAAACACAAAAGATAAAAAAAAGAAGAGGAAAAAAATCTAACTTCCAGAGATTCCAGCTACAATATTGGTGTTAAAAAAATCACTCAATAGGACTGATGGCAAATTAGACATTGCAGAAGGAAAGATTAGTAAACTTGAAGACAGCAATAGAAACTATCCAAAATGAAAGAGAGAAAAAATAATTTCAAAACTCTAAAGAGCCTCCATGAGCTATGGGACAACTTCAAGAGGCTTGATATATGCCTAATTGAAGCCTTGAAAGAGAGGAGAGAAGGGAGAGAACAGGAAAATATATTTGAAGAAATAAGGGCAGAAAACTTTCCAAACTTGATGAAAGCTATGAACTCACAGACTCGAGCAGTTCAATGAACACCGAGCACAAGAAACATGAAGAAAATTATACCAAGGCACATGACAATCAAATTGCTCAAAACCAGCGATACAGAGAAGAGCTGAAAAGCTGCCATAGGAGAAAAGGCACGTTATGTACAGAGAAATAAAGATAAGGATCACATCATATTTCTTTTTGGAAACAATGTAAGAAAGAAGATAGCAAAGCAACATGTGAGGGAAAAAAACGAAAACTGTCAACTTAGAATTCTATACCCAGAGAAAATATCTTTCAAAAACAAAGGTGAAGTAAATGCTTTTTCATACATACAAATGCTGAAAGAATTGATCAGGAGCAGACCTGCCCTACAAAAATGCCAAAGGAAATTCAGGCACAAGGAAAACGATACCAAGTGGAAATCTGGATCTATACGAAGGAAGGAAGAGCATACATAATGTATGATTCCATTTATATGAAGCTCTAGAAAATGCAAACTAATCTGACAGCAGATCAGTGGTTGCCTGGGGAGGGAGAAGGGAGGAGCAGAAAGAAGAGACTACAAAGGGGCATGAGGAAACTTTTGGGGGTGATGGATATGTTCATTATTTTGACTGTGGTTGTGGTCTCACAGGTATATGCATACATTAAATCTCAAATTATATTTTTGAAATATGTGAAGCTCACTATATGTCAATTATAACTCAATAAAACTGTTAGAAAGCATAATACCCAGTAATCCTAAAACTGACATGAATTCTTTTTTTCATTGTTGTGCTTTAAGTGAAAGTTTATAATTCAAGTTAGTCTAATGAATTCTTTTTAGAAAGAGGAAGGATACATTCCATAAGCAAACGTTTCTAGGGCCCTTTACACTACACTTTCACACGCATTCATCTTATTTGATCATCAGAGCTATCAGCCAAGTGGGGCTAATGATTACCCCGCCTATTCTCACAGGATTGTGGAGAGGACCAAATGAGAGGACGATGAGAGCTCTGTGTCAACAACACTAAACAGGCTATGAGGTGGGCGTGCTGGGCACAGTGCCAGCTCCCAAAGGCGCTCCAACTCCAATAGAAAAAAATAATTTCAGTATTTGTCTAGACCTTTTTGCAAGGGATTTTTCTTTGTTCTAACCTTTTCCTTTTAAAATGTGGGATAAAAGCCATCCATGTCAGGGGATTTCCAGCACTTGTGAACTTTCAGGCCGCAAGTTCAAATTCAAAGGGCAAAATTTAGTTGTTTTCACATAGCTGGTTGTGATTCTCTTTCCTTTGGCAGCCCTAAGAATGTTTCCAGGAGGTGGCTGTTAACAGGGCACTGATTTCAATGATGTTTAGACGGACACCTCCTGAGAACCATGCCATCTTTTTACGTACAACTGTGCAGGGCTTTTCAAGACCTTTAAGTTCTTACTAAAATAGTCTATTGTGGAATGCTCTGTTATCGTTGCTAAGTGCTGTCGAATCTTCAGTAGTTAACTTCTACAGCACTTAGTAACTGTAATAAGTCTTCTACATCTGCCTCTTCCTCTCCTTCCCCGTTACTAGCCTACTTTTTCAAACTCTTTTCTCTAGCCTATCACAACAGGCTTCTAACTGATCTTCTCTCCTCTTTTCTCCCCTCTAATCCATTTTATACCGAGCTGTCAGATTAATTTTTCAGAAACAATCATCTTCCTTGTTCAAAAATTTCTTCAATAATTCCCTATTACCTGAGGAGTAAAGCCCCCCACCCCATACCCCAGTCACTACACGCTAGTCTATTTTATCTTCTTCATAGCACTTAGCAGAACCTGATATTAACTATTTATTTGTGTGCGTATATATATATCATCAAGAGCTTGGCTGTTAACCAAAAGGTCAGCAATTCGAATCCACCACCCACTCCTTGGAAACCCTATGGGGCAGTCCTACTCTGTCCTATAGGGTTGCTATGAGTTGCAATCGACTTGACAGCAATGGGGCTTTTAGTTTTGGTATATATAACATATTTTTCCATCTTCAGAATGTAATCTCCTTGATGGCAGGATGTCTGTCTGTCTCGGTGTTTGCTGTATCCCCAGCAGCCTTCCACTCTGACTGGCAGTCAATAAATATCTGATAACCAACTGACTTCCGTAAGTATTTTTTAAGAATCTACTTTGTGCCAGGTTATGTACTAGGTGCTGGGGATTCAAAGTTAAATAAGACAGTCCCTGCCCTTGAGGAGTTCACACTCTGGTTGGGGGAGAAGACGTATAAAGGGACAGTCCCACTATAGTGTAACAGATGCCATGTTAGGAGGAAGCACAGCCTAAACCAGCTTGGAGTAGAGTGGGGAGATAAGTCAGAGAAAGCTGCCCAGAAGAGACTGTGCTTAAGCTAGAGCTTTAAGGTGTGAAGATGTGTGTGTGGGCAGATGGAGGTGAAAGAGGTAATAGGACAGGCATAAAACACCATGGCACATTATGGGAACTACAATTAGCGTGGTTGGAACACTGTGTGAGGACTAGGAGATGATACAGAAAGGTAGGAGGTAGCAGACTATCAAGGCCTTTGTATGCCACAGGTAAAGAGCGAGGAGTTATCCCATAGACAATTGGGAGCCACTAAAGAGCTTCAAAGGAAGAAGTGGGATGCTAACATGCATTTTCCATCTCTGAAGACAACAGGGTTAACATTAAGCCTAAACTTCAGCTGCCACAGATGCAAATACAGTGGTCCCCAATCTCTCTGTTGTGCCTGATGGACAAAATCCTCACAACTAATCACCTACCAGACAGATAAAGGGCTTTGTCCACCATATACTCCTCAGCAAAGCGAATGTGGCAAAAGTTCTTTTTGCTCTTCCGAATAGCAATGATCTCTCCACACTGTTCGAATACTTCCACGATGATCTGCTCTGTCCCATTTTCAGGCAGGCCACCCACAAATACTGTTTTGCATCCTGGTGGTCTTTCTCGGGTTGCAGGAGGTGGAAGATCTGTGTAAGGGCAAAAAGCATTTAAAATTAAAATGTTTGCTTGGGACAGACCCCTTAGAAACCTAACATTTCCCAGAGATAGCCTTACTGTCCCCATCAAAGTTTTGCCTGAGAGTGCCAGAGTATGTGGCCTCCAAAGTACTCATTCCTGCTCCACAGCAAACACTGTATTCTATTCAATGGTTTGTTGACCATTTCTTATTTACTTTTGTTGTGACACCCAACAATGCTCAATTTTCAGTTATTTTTAATAAGATGACAGTTAGTGGCTGGAAAACCCACTCAGTTTAAACTCTTACTTTCTGGAGTTCTCAGAACCAGGGTCCCTGAGAGAAGGAGTTTGTTTAATTCAGATTGTATTTACAATGAAGTCTTTGTGTTCATGCTTACTGAGAGAATTGTTTCAGGATTAATTTGACAATGATGGGATGAGTATTTACAAAAATATTTACAGCTGCCAGAATAATGTAGTTACCAAAGTGAGCCAGAGTAAAAATCATTCTCTGTTTTGTTTTTTTTAAATTAACTTATTATTTTCATTTTTATTTTTTTATTGTACTTCATGTGAAGGCTTACAGAACAAATAGTTTCTCATGAAACAGAAGTACACATGTTGTTTTATGACATTAGTTAACAACCCCACAACATATCAACCCTCTAACTTCTCAACCTTTTTTGTTTTGGTGAAAATACACATAGCCAAAGATACACCATTTCAAAAATTTCTACATGCAAGGTTCAGTGACACTGACTATGCTCTTCGAATTGTGCTGTTATTCTCACTTAAGATGAAGGCTTACAGAACGAAATAGTTTCTCATTTAACAGTTACTACAAATGTTGCCCTATGACAATGGTTAACAATCTCACAACACGTCAACAATATCCTTACTCAACCTTGGGTTC